ACGAGCAAAATATTTCAGTTTTCTGGAGGCTATACTTGTCCCTGAAATTTTATAACATACGAGTTGGACACAATACTTCGTAATATCAACGAATATTAGTGTGATACAGAAGTATAGTCATTTTGTGTCAAAGATTACTACTACTTAGTTTATTATAATAATATCGAGATTATTATAGGTAGATATATACTTAGGTTCTCATAGTTTTTATATATGAGTTGAAGTCGTATTTCTGTGAATGATAACTATTCACGATTATTGTCGCCATATTTTTAATCTAGTCAAATTGTATTACATCACTCTTGCTATTTGGAAATAAACGAGCTTAATACTTCTTGAGATCAATTTTCTAGAAAAATATCGAGTCATTCAGCAGGCGCCCCTTTTCAAACACACCTGTTAATTATTAGTAATGCGATTACCATCAAATTCAGATCGCTTCATTCACCAGGAAAGTAGTTGTTTTTTGTTGAATGATGCGAGAAAGATTTGATATTTTTATTACATTAAGAATGCGAATTCTCAATGTGTTTTTTTTATATCTAGAAAAGTTGGCGATCTGGCTCTATATTATAGATATTTTCATGGACGATGCCCTTCTGAAATATCAACAATTGTTCTTCCCTGGGCATCAGTCTCCGATAGATTAACCCGTCGACTTGAGGCTTCGCACCCCTTCGTGGTCACTTTGGAGACCTGCAGAACATCAGTTTCCAAAGACTCGTTCGTCCAACGAACAGCAAGGCTCTGGAACACATTGCCAAGAGAGGTGTTCCCCGAGGCATATAACCTCCAGAAATTTAAGAAAAACACCATCACCTTATTTCCCTTTGTTCTCACGATGTTCTCTGAACATAACACAGGATATCCCTTTTCGTGGGAACCAGAACATAAAAAAATCTGAGAATATGTTTCCACTTTCATCGAAGAGAATGTTAGGTAATTAGACCAATGATTATTCTAAATGTGGAGAAATTATCATCCTCAAGAGAAACTGAAGATACAGAGGCAAGTTGGCCAAGAGATCGAGAGTTGGTGATGAATGGTGATACCTATATCTGAGTGAAACTGCAAAAAATGAAATGCATATATGTTGGATAAATAGGAGTAATCAAGAGAATTGTATGAACAATGATAGAACTATAGAATGTTACAGCGATTTAGGAGCTGTGCTTAGTTCAATATTCTATATTCTTCTTATAGTCCAAGAGCCGGCTGCAATTTTCGTAAAAACATTGTAGTTTATCGAACCTTACCTGTACCAATCACTACAATACACATAGCCCAATCACCTTAGTATCAAATTTGACGAATAGCGGGAATCGAACCCAAAGTTTTGAAAATTGGTGTACATGTTCCTTTTGGCATGACTTTCAACCAAAAAAAAGTCACCACCTGTACCTGTAGAGCTAACTCCGCCATCTTGAAAAATGTGTGCACTTTTTCAGTTATTCGGTTATATCTCAGTATCTGTTAACTTTATCGATATCAATATGCTGAGGTGAAATGAAGTAAATTGAATTTAGAAAAAAAAAGTTCACCACATGAATACTCGTTTAGTGCATGGTTTATCAGTAAATCTTAAAACAATATGCGATATTTGAGAAACTTACTCATAATTATTCTGATATACATATATATTCCAACTACAAGTAACTGTCAGAGTGTCGGCGCCATATTCAAGGATCCTCGCAACAGCGATCGGCCATTACAGAATACCAGTGTTGCCACATATCAATTTTCTTTTTCTTTTACATCGTATGATTTGGCAGTCAAATCAAACGTTCTTGTCAATCTGCTCCAGTTACATTGCCTACGTCAGGAAACACTACGGCTCTAATTCGGTGATTGTTTTCGACGGGTACTCTGATGATGCTGATGGAACTAAAAAGGCTGAACAGCATGTGCAGACATATTATGTTTTGTTTGATGAAAACATGCCGGTCACTGTCGCACAAGAAAAGTTACTAGCTAACCCGAAGAACAAGAAGCGATTGATTGCTATATTATCAGAAAAAATTAAGGGTTCATCACGAAGCAAGCAGTTGACGATGCGGATTCGCTAACAATACAGACAGCTATTGAAATGTCTTCCTCTACCCAAGTCACCGTTGGTGGAGAAAATGTAGATCTACTTATTCTACTCATAGCATTGGCTCCAGCAGAACGCAACATTTATTTTGTGAAACCAAAAAAAGGCAATGCATAAAGGCAGAAATGTACTGTTCCCGCGAACTACAAACCAATATTAAATAACAGAGCACTATCCTTTTCTTACATAGGTACCTTTGGGGGTTGTGATACCACATCATGTTTCTTTGAAAAAGGAAAGTTGAAATGCCGGCCATCATTACGAGAAGTTGCGAAGGCTTTCAACAACCAGGAAGTTAAGAGTGAAGAAGTGTCTACTACATGTGAAAGATTCTTTATAGCTCTGTATGGTGCCCATAAAACGGAAACATCATTGAACAAGCTACGGTACAATCTTTTCGCTAAATCTGCTACAAAAAAAAAGTAGATCTGGCTTCTCTGCCACCGACGGAAGCAGCTTTGAGGCAGCACTCCTTCAGAGTCAATCATCAGGTACAAGAGTCGTTCGGTAATCAAAAATGTCCTGAGCTTTGAGGGTGGAGGAGGAGTGCTGTTGGTCTGGTACCTGTGCCAACTACCCTACCTGCTGCTCCAGATTCTTTGCTCCAGATGATGCGGATGCAGAAAAGCGGGTCTTAAATGCTCGATTAGTTGCGAATATTGCCTTGGAGCATCGTGCCCCAACGCACAATACTGTCAGGACAACGCCGAAACGCTGGAATCCGAGATGAAGGAAGATTTTTCCGTTTCATCTCTTCTAAGTAATGAATACGAAGTTCCGGATGAACCCGACCCGATGGTTGTATTTTCAAATAACGAAGAATACATGCCTTATTCTCCATGTTATACCCTGCGTCTTCGAAATGGGTGATATACCCGAAGTGTAGAGTTGTCCCAGTTGTCAGCAGAACGAGAGCGGCTGATGAGACCTGGTGGGTCGAAACAGTACTGTCTTGCTCCTGCTGACAATTGGGGCAACTCTGTCCATCCTGGAACTCTTGATTATGAGATCTAGCAGCTTTTCTACTGGTCACCATGAGCGTATACAACTAAATTATAGTGTGTCCAGTCGGTTTGCAGTAGAATTTTATATTTTGCCCAATAGTTGTGGCGACATAAGTCCAAAACCGTGCATATTTCGAAAATAATCAATAAATACTTTTTTACGATGAATTTTGTTAGCTTCCTTTTACCTCTTCACCTTTATCGCGATAAAGTTGACAGTTACCGAGATATACGTGAAAAACTGAAATATTGCACCTATTTTCCAAGATGGCGGCGCAAGCTCTACAGGTATGGGTTGTGACTTTTTTTTGGTAGGATGTAATGCTAAAAGGAACACGTACACCAATTTTCAAAACTTTGGCTCCGATTCCCGCTATTTTTTCTAAGGTGACTGGGCTAACAGACATTTCAACCAATCAAAAACGTGTATTTTATAATGAGTGAAATAATCACTAAAGTCTGGCTCAAAAAAGATGACCAGTGAAAAATATGTGAGCCCAGAGCACAATTCAGTATATTCACATAAGTATATCTACAGGGTGTCCCGAAATTACATAAAAAGATGTCAACCACAGATTCTGGGAACAAAAATAGTAAATAAAGTTCACATAAACATGAGCACAGAAATGGCCCTTTGTGGAGTTATAGCCATCTGAAAGATGGCCCGAGATGATGATGGTTTAATGTAAATATTCCCGAAACCCTTCATGTTGAGGTAACGAAATTTCGTAGGTACATGTATACCTACCTATTACTTTCCATGCCTGATTTTGGGATGTTGAGAATTTTGCGAAATTTTTATCAGGGACGTGGGAAATAGGTGAGGCTAAGGGCATTTCTTTCCCCAACATTTCTTAATGCAGTTTTCGTCAGTGTGACCAGGAAATATGAAAATATCATCATTCTCACCTGGAAATAAAACCCTTGTTTAGTTTGGATAGCACTCACCATTTTTGGGATAAATCGATTGAAAAAGTCTGCTGCGTATTAAATCTGTACTTTTTCTTAATGGGGTGCCTACCATAATATTTTTCAAATTATTATTTCTATTGTTCCTCTTATATTTTGAATCACAGTTAGATGTTGAAAAAAAGGTATCTTCTATCGAAAAATAATTTTTAGGAATATTCGCTACCCTATTACAAAGGAAAAAGCAGTAGTTCTATTACGCAGCAGACTTCTAAGATCGATTTGTCTCGAAAATGGTCAGTGCTATCAAAACTGAACAGGAGTACTTATTACTTTTATGTGAAAATTATGACATTTTCATATTTCCTCATCAAACTGCCCGAAATTGCATTGAAAAAAAAGTTGGGAGAAATGCCCCTGGCCCCACCTATTTTTCACGCACCTGATAAAAAATTCAGAAAATTCTCAATATCTCAACACAGAGGGTTTCGGAACTATTAGCACTTTAGATATACCTATAACTCTCGAGGGAGGCATTTCTGAGCCCATGTTAACATAAACTTTTTTCATCATTTTTGTTTCTAGAATCTGTAGTTGAAATATTTCTATGTTATTTCGGTACACCCTGTATATATCCCACAATTTCAACTTTTACTGTTTTGTTGTGCATGGTAAGTGACTATCCATTCAACTAATATAATATCATAATATATATTAATTTCAGGTCCCTTTGGTTGTCTGAAATGTGGAAAAATGTATCAAGCCAAACGATCACTATGGAGACACACGAAATTTGAATGTGATACTGTTAGGGCTTTCCCTTGCTTGATACCGAATTGCTACTATAGTGCCACTAGAAAATACCAATTAATGAGTCATCTGAAATTGCGACATAGAATAGGGAAATAAATGTAATTAGTGCCATTTTAAGGACTTTCTGAGGCTTACTCGTAAATGACTCCCATAACTTTACTTAATATTCAACTTTATTTCAGGTTATACATTCTCATAAAAAGCACTGAATCAATCAATTTGATAACTTGCAACATACAAGATGGTATCACTGTGAAAAACTGCAATGGTGAATTCCTTGCATCTTGTTCGGTAGTTTTCTAGATTTACTGAACGGTGAATTAATTACTTAACTATATATCCTTCAGTTTTGTTTATCGATCATTCGAATCTATTAATTTCAAACAGAAACCACAACTTATAGGTTGCGTGCAAGAACTGTCAGATGACCGACCCTAGAGGGGAAAAATTGAAACACAACCTCACTTTTCTTATATTGTTTACAAGTGATTGAAATAGTTTTTCACAATTATTTTGGCATAGGAATGGTGTTTTTCGGCTATTCATTAATTCTCAGATCTCAAAGAAAAAATCATGTTATGAATCTTCCTGATGTTTCTCCAAGTTTTGAGTTTGTTCTTCTGGATGTTCAGTCGATTTAAGATTGATTGTAACCATCAGGACTGATTTTCCGACTGACAACTGCGTTTAGACCTTCACAATTTTCACACATGTCCTTTCTTACGTAACATTCCTTTCAGATACTTGTTGTAGTATCTCATTGCTTTCCCGCGCAGGTACTTGTATGGTGTCTGATGATGACCGTAGGTCGAAACTATAGTTACGTGCATCGTTTGTTGATTAAATATAATAGAATGAAGAGATTTTGTATTTCGTGTAAAATTTTTTAATTATAAATCGCAAAGCGCTTTCGGCTAAAAAGCCATCATCAGTGCTATACCTGCAAGTAAGTAACATTTATGAAATTTCAAAAACAAATCTAAAAAGGTAGATTACTTACTCGTCAAGTATTTACAAAAAGGTCCAAAAATTAGTGATCACAGACATCATTATGGTACAAACGGGATTATGAACAGACATACATTTAACAAATATGTTCCCTAATGGGTTATTTTAAAATTTTTCAAAAATACATATTGAGATTGTTTTGTTCAAGTCCAGAAATAGCACGTGAGACCTTAACCTTATTTATTCTGGAGAATGTTTGATAATTTTTAACCTTAGTAAAATGTTGACAATGACTGAGTGTCAATGTCTATGACTTAGTTTACATGTGTATGAAGTAGACAAGTGACATAATGAAAAAAGCGTTTGGAAAAGAATTGACAAGGTGAGCAGAAAAGCTGTCTGAAAATTTTGAAACATTCTGAAAAGAAAAATAAGATGAAGTGGACTTCAATCCAGGTCAAAGAGTAAACCTTTTTTTTTAGTAAAATTGAGAGAAAAGAGTTTCCAATCAAGACTTAAGATTAAATATAATTCTGTGGTCGAGCGACATTGGGTTTATATCTTTTTTTATGCAAAATTCTGGACTTCCTTGGGGATTTGAAGGTTTTACACGATAGTATACACTATAGTAGGACATTCAGAATTCAGTGTTTGTATTCAATGACCTGACATCAGGTAATGAAAAAAATTCATATTCCTTCAGAAGTTCAAATTCAACATTAGTATTAATAAAGACATTCCTCGTGAACTTTAACGCCCGCTATTGCATAAGATCTCTTAATAATGAAGTGAAAACTCTTATTAGTATAATAGTTTCCACATATTGTGTTCGATAAAATGAACGAGAAAAACGGTAGATAACGAGAGAAAAACAATAACTTTTCTGGCTAATGTCATGAAGAACAATGAATTTCATCCTCCCGAAATCTATATGCAACGAATCGTATACAGAGAAGTTCACAAATAAGAACAACGCGTGCTGATGTATTTTCTGAATCATCCGATTTTGGATTTCGAAATTTGGCGGGTGGCAAGTTCACAAAATTGCTAATTTCAAGACAAAATATCTGCTCTCCACATATACAGTGTGTCCACCTTAAGGACTTACCACCCCTGTAAAATTGTTATCATCTGACCGATTTCAAAAAACTTTTTTTTGTTGGATAGGTATTTGAAATGTCCATCCAACAAGAGAGTGATTTTACTCATGAACTGTAATCGTGGCCAACTGCGACCAACTTTATTGACCCATATTTGAGAAAGTACTATTAGGGATTTTTTTTCACAAAAAACAATGATGGATTCTGAATCACGATCACTTGCAAAACACCTTTACTGATTTTTATCATCATAAAACACAGGGTGTCCGAGAAAACGAATTATGTATTTTTTTCAATAGGTGATCAGAAAATGTAGTATTGTGGTATTTTTGGGAAGAATTGATGACAGATTTTTATTGAGGATCACTTTGAACATATCTGAGCCGATTTTCATCATTCAAAAATACGTTGTGTATGAGAAAACAATTAAAAAAAGTAGGCAATATTTTTTCATCAACTCGAAAAAAATATTAATTTGATTTTTCTAACACTCTGTGTTTAATGATGATGAAAATCGGTACAGGTAGGAGTGAAGAATTATCAGGATGAAAATAATTGCTTACCTATCCTTTATATTTTTTTTCTCAGACACATTGTATATTCAAATGACGTAAATTAGTACAGGTATATTTGAAATGATCATCAATGATATTTTGTGATTATTTCTTCCTAGAAAAACCACAGAACTACATTTGCTGGTCACCTATTTGAAGGAAATGATGATTCGTTTCTTCGGACACCCTGTGTTTTATGATGATGAAAATCGGTACAGGTATATTTCAAGTGGTACTGATTCAGAATCCATCATCAAGTTTCGCGGGAAAAAATCCCTAATAGTACTTTCTGGAATATGGGTGATTGAAATTTGTCGCAGTTGGCCACGATAACAGTCCAACAATTAGATCACTCTCTCGTTGGATGGGCATTTCAAATACCTATCCAACAAAAAAAGGTTTTTCGAAATTGGTCGGATAATAACGATTTTACAGGGGTGGTAAGTCCTTACGGTGGACACACTGTATATAGTATTTCGTGATATGATAAAGGTGATTTGATACCTCGTATCAGATATCTGAATGATACTATACTATACTATTTAGATAGATATTCAAACTGTTGTTAACATGTGAAATGTATATAGGTTTGTATAAGATACATGTTTTAGGAAAGGAGCAGAAGGGGCGCCATCAATGTTTGATTTGTGGCAAAATGTACGTCTTCAAAAGCACTTTGTCACGTCACATGAGACATGAATGTCAACAATTTCCACGACTGAAATGCGACTACTGCGATCATTGGTCTAAGCGGAAGGATAACTTAAGAGTGCACATAAAGAATTTGCATGGCAACCATTTGGTCTGATTGAATCTATTTTCACCGACATCAGAGACTACATTAGCAGGTTCTACAACACTATTTGCAGCTACTATATCCGCGACATTGAATCCGTGACATTTTATCCGCAGCGAATGAATTTGTAATTCAATAATAGTAAGTAAAATTTCAACTACGAAATAGCTTAAATGCTCAAAGTAGAACGAACAGTTAAATGAATTCATAAAGCTAAGCTCAACTATTTTCCTGGGTTATGTCACGTAGAACATTGAATTTCCTCCTCCCGAAATCTATGCATCGACTCGTATAAACGAATACTGATAAAGGTGATTCTTTCCGGAATGCCTATTGATTTCAATTTAGCCAGGCCACGCTAGACACCTACAGACTAGTTCCGAGATCTTTGACTCTCATCAGTGCGAGGCAGTTCCCGAAAAACAATTTCTATGAAGAAATAATGACCATTTGCAGATATCGCGTACTGGCGGATTTCAAGGTCATCAGATGACTTCACGATAACATTTAGCAATAAGGAAAACATTTCTGACTTCCAATCCAAGCCAGGAGGTAGAAATATGTTCCCTATTGCTGAACGTCATCGCACCGTAAGTTTGTGACCTTGAAATTCGTCAATTGACAGTGACGTCATGTACGCGCGAGAATTCAGAGAGCCACTGATGGAAATGGTGCAGGTAGACGCTTGTTTCGGGTACTGTTTCTGTTCGGGTATTCTCGTTCCTGATTACTGCAATGTCCACAGATAGGTGAGAAGAATTGATAGAAAACAGAATGATGCATAGTATAGCGATTGTCGCTGATTCAATGTCGCGGATATAATGGCCATGGATCGAATGTTATGTTAGCGATTAGCAAGCAATATATTTAAAAAAACATTGATCTCTCAGGCAATCCAACTCTGGTTAGAATCAATATAGCGCCTGGTCGGCACCATATATAAAAGCAATAGAATGATGCTGCTAGCACAAGTAAATAGTTTACTGTTCGTGATTTATGACTTGTACTGCTGATACCAACAGGAACTCGCGTATAAAAATTATTTATCACACATTAATAATTTCGTTGGGTGCCAACCAGCGCATAATTTGACAGGTCATTTGTACAGTGCATCCCATTTTGGTTGGAACTGCCATGAGTTTTCTCGGTTGTTATCGAAGTTTTTTTTGTGTTTGTTTTTTTTTACCGAAATGGACGTTGTACAAATGTAGGCTGACCGAATAACAGTCTTTACCTCGTATCGTATCTCTCCAAAGAGTTTACCAATGAATCTGCTTTTGTCCCAATTTCTTTCGTAGAATGAGCAGCCGTTGTGGAATATCTGAGTACAACGGAAGCTCTCAGTGGCGTATTTCCCGGGGTCGTATGATATCTTCTATTGTTACCCTTCTTTTATATCAACTTATTCTGGTATTCAAGAAAAGTGGAGAATTCAAGATTTAAAACACCTATCCATAATTTGGGTCAAAGTGTGTCGAATAATCCTTGAATCTACGACAATGATTACTTCCATTGGATCCGAAATGTTCCCAACGCCTGCTCGTATAGAAAAAATCAGATATCTGTCAGCTCTCTGTGTAAAGATATAATGAAAACGATTTATTCAGGAAAATATTTATTCGATCTCTTTTCTATTTTAGCGATGTCAACATGCTCTGCAATTTAAAACTCAGAATAAATTAATATGAAACTGATAAGGACCAATGTTTTTTTAAATAACCAATACATGATATCCTATACCCTTTGGTTGAAAATGAGTGTATAACCTAACAATACCTTCCCCATGTATTGAAAATGGTGATATATCGAAGAACATGTGTTTTTTTTTGTTCACGAAATCACTCCACATATAACATTGGTGGGGATGCTAGAGACTTCCAGTGTATACGGTACGGTCACTGCATC